TTTTGCCAAAATCAGATGCAACAACAGTTAGTTTTGTAAGTTCAGATTGATCATTTGTGTTTTTCTTACAACAATTGTTGTTCCGCAGCTTTTTTAATTTCTTCATTTTTCTTTTGATGCTCGCAAACATAGTATTGATCTTTATTTAAAGATTCATTTGTTTTTATTGGAGCTTCTATTGATTTAACAAATTCTTGATTAATGATTATGTAAGGTATTCTTACAACATTGCCAATGGTTGGGTTTAAAAGCTCATATTTTTCAGTTGTTTTTAGTATTTTGCAGTCAAAAGGGTTGAATTATTGTCTTTTTTGCATTGATATTCGGTTAAAGCAGAAACTTGCTTCAAGGCTTTTTAACTATGAAATAAGAAAATTCTCGTTTTGAAAGTAGCACTATCTGGTGTAAGTTTTTTTACTGGTTTTGCTTCTTTAACAACTGGTGTTATTGATCTTTCATTTACAGGAATGTTTTCACCACTTGAAAGAGATGAAATTTGATTATTGTGTTGTTCTGGTTGTGAATCTGTTAAATTCCCGCTTTGAGTTAAGAAATTTGCACCTACAAATCCACTGCCGGCTGTTGCAGTAAAAACACAAAGACTGATAACTCGGCCTGTTAAAAACTTGAACATTTGTGGTTTATATTAGCTGAAGTGTTGATTTATCAAAGTTTTTTACTCAAGAAAAATACTGGGTCATCTTTACTTAAATCACCAATTATGCCTGATGCAAAAATCGGTTGTTATTGTTGGTGTTGTTAAAAAATGTCAAAATCACTTTTTTTTTACAAACATTTCTATTTTTTTTGTTAATTCTGAAAGTTTTTTTGTTTGATCTTAAGGTTTATGGTGAATAACACTCTTGATATTATCTGGTAAACCTAATTCAGATGTTTCTATTGCGTTGTTAAATCCAAATATAAAGTAATGTCTATCTAATAAAAGTCATTTGTTTTTGTTGGTTGTTACACTATTTTCAAAAGGATAACAAGCTGTTTTTGTAACTAAAAACCATTAACTTTTAAATCATCATTTTTTTCAACAATAATTATGTTTTTTTGTTTTCTGGTGCTCGCAAAAACATAAAACTCGTTGTTTGTTAAGGTGCCACTTGATTTAACGACAGAATCTAATGAATTTATGTAGGAAACATTAATTGTTTTCTGTGTGCCTGTTTGGTTTTGATCACTGATTTTTAATAATACGCAATCAAATGTTGTGTTATGAGTTTCAGTTTTGCATTGATATTTTTCTGTATTTTGTGTTACTTTTGTTGCTTAGACAATGAAATATGAAAAATTCTCATGTTTTATTGCAGTAACTTGTTTATAAGTTTGTTTTTCTATAACCGGTTTTGAAGCAGTTAAATTTTCAGTATTAGTTTTTGTAGTTGGAACTGTTAAATTCCCGTCCTCGATTTCCATTAATTACAGATAAGTAAGCAGCACTTCCTGCAACAGCAGTAAATAAAAACCGCTAATTATTTTGCTTGATAAAAGCTTTAGCATATTAAAATTATAAAAATAATATGTTATTTTTTGCCTATTTTTACTTCATGAACAACCTTTGCCTGTTTATTTTATTGAGAGAAATACTGAGATATTTACGTTGACCAATTAAATTTAAAAATTAATAGCTTCTTCCAAAATAAGCTCAACAATTTGCTGGTTTTTGACTAAAAACATTCAGTACAATCATCATTTATCATTTCTGCAATACATCTTGGTGTAAAGTTATAGCCTTTTGATTTGAAATTAATTTCATTATTTTCATCGTTAAACCAAGGAACTAAAACAACTTTTTTTATCTTTGGTTATTTCTATTGCTTCTTCTAAAGTTGTGGCTCTTTGTATTGAATTTTCAAGATTTTTTTAGATTTTTCTTTAAAACAATCTGATAATTTGTTTTTAATTGTTCAATAGTGTCTTTTAAGGTATTTATTGCAATTAATTCTTTTGTATCAGAAATTTTGTTTTAATGACTACAGAATTATTTGATAATTCTTTTTCACCGATGATCATGGTTAAAGGTATTCCATTTTTTCAACTGCATTCATTCTGTGTCCAAAAGGCTTATTGAAAACATCATTCATGTTCTATATCATTTAATTGTTCTTCTATTTGTTTATATGTTTCATCTTCTTTAGAAATAACCTTATTTAACACAAGAATAAATACTTTGGTTTCAGATAAATATCAAGGTAAAACTAAACCTTTATCATCACTATGAGACATAATTATTGCTCCTATTAAACGTGTAGAACAACCAGCAGATAATTGATGTGGGTATTCTTTTTATATTGTCTTTGCTTGTGTATTTAATGTCAAAAGTGGTAGTAAAGTTTTTACCTAAATAATGTGATGTTGCCATTTGCAACACTTGACCATCCAACATAATTGCTTCTGATGTTAAAGTTTTGTCTGCCCCAACAAATCTTTCATTAATTGTTTTTTCCCTGACAATACATGAATATTTAATAAGTTAAGTATTAAGTCTTTATAGATATTGTGAAAATATTTAAATATTCCAAAGCATTTTCTTTTGTTTCATGTATTGTGTGTGCTTCTTGTCAATAAAACTCACAATTTCTTAAAAAGCTTTGGTGTTTTTTTCTGATCTATAAACACTTGATCATTGATTTAATAAGATTGGTAAATCTTCATAACTTTCTAAATTTCTTCTAAAAAATGAGAAAAAGTATTTCACTTGTAGGTCTTAAAAGATTGAATGTTCTTTGTTTGTATTGTTTGAATCTTTTATCAAAAATAATTCAGGTAAAAACCACTTAAATTTTCTTTTCTTTTTCTAGTTCAGCTAAAGGAATTAATGCAGGAAATAAAACATTTTTGATTTTTTGTTCTTTAAACTTTTGATTTACAAATTTTTGTATTTGCTCTCAAATATAACAAGTTTTAGGGTGAATAAATATTGTTCCCTTAACTAAACCTGGACTAGCTAAATCTGAATGAAAAATAACATCTTCATATCACTTGGCAAAGTTTGTTTTTTGTGGAGTGATAAATTGCATAAATTAAAGAATATATGCTTGAATGCAAAAAGATTATTTTGCAACGATTGAAAACAGTAAATCTCCTTTTTTAATTTTTCCAGAAGTGATGTGATAAACAATTTCTTTACCGTCAAATGAAGCATCTTTTTTGAATCAAAATTGGTGTAATTGCACTAGGAGCTAATTTATTTATTACTTCTAAATTTAGCATACAAAGAGAACTTTTAGCAGCAACATGATCATGTTGTTTTAAATTAGTGGTAAACGCGTTTTCTTCTTGAGGTATTTTTACTGTGTCAATACCAATATGTAAGAATATTGCTATTCCAGATTTTGTTCTCTAATTACATATGCATGTTTAGTTGGATATAAAACTTCCAAAATACCACTTACAGGAGCAATGACTTCAGGAGAAGAAGGCAAAATACCAAGACCTTCACCTACATAACCTTCAGAAAAAGTTTCATCAGGAATGGATTTTTGAGAAACAATTTCACCATCCATCGGAGAGTAAATTTCAATTGCTGGTTCTTTTGGTGCGGCAAATAAAGAATTAAAAAAATCTGTAACAGTTTTAATAAATGACATGAAAAATAATGATATTTAAATAATTTTAATAAATTGATTTATATTTCGCTTAATTGTGATGTGTTACATACAATTGGTTGTTGTCTTCCAAAGACAGTAATACTTACAATCACCTCTCCTGTTTCATGGTCAATACTTTTGATTAAACCTTGAACTCCAAAGTCATGAACAAATACGAAATCATTAACTTTAAATTTACTTGGATCTTGTGTTCCTTTTTCCTTAGGAACATAATAATCATGCGAACTTATTGGTGCTTGTTCAAGTTCTTTAATTGGAATAGTTTCTTCATCTATTAATGGTTCATCCATTGACGGTTCAAGAGTAACAGCACCTGTAGGTTTAATGTCGTGTAAATCTTTAATTTTCCCTTTCACTATTACATAATTGTTTTTTTCAACATATTCTTCAATTACAGGAATTTCAGTACTTAAAGAATTTTTCATCTTTAAGTATTGGCTATCAGACATTGCTGTAGGATTAGGATCTCCTAAAAAGTAAATTCCTACTTCTCAAGATTTAATTCTTTAAATAATTCATAGTTGTAAACCATATTCACAAACACCAAACCTTTAAAAGGTTTTTTTTACTAACTTAACTTTTTTATAGTTGCCTTGTATGTTTTTACTCATACATAAGATTTAGTGTTTTGTAACCCTCTTTGTGGTAAATCTTCATCATTAGGAAGATATTCTTTGCTTTCTTCTATTTTTCATTCTCTCAATACTTCAATTTGTTTTACTTGAGAAGCTAAATTATATAAATCAATCTTTTCCAACAAAGACTTAACTATCTTGTCTTCATTGATAGGAAGTATTCTTAATGTGTATCAAGCAAAGAATTCTTGATTGTCGTATTCGGGTGTGTGAACTTGAGAATCTTTTTGATTCATGCAAAAATATATTGTTTTATTTTAAGTTGGTAATTTATAAACCACTAATAATATTCATTATTTAAATTAATTATCCTTGAATAGTTGAAATAAACAAAAATATCAAATAAAAAAGCACACAGAAATAAAACAATACTAATAACCAAAATAAACTCTTCTGTTAATTGTTTTTTATTGGTTCAAGTTATTTTAAAGTTTTTGATTAAGCCTGAAGAAAAACTAGTATTTTTTTTTTTTAAATGCTTTATGTGAACTTTAATTCAAGAATAATCGTTTGAATTTGCTTTGTTTGCCATACTAAATAATCTTATTTAAACTATTTGCTTTCATTGTGGTTTGTTGTTACTTTACAAAAAGGGCAATATTTTTTAAGAATTAACATTGTTTCTCTTTTTAAAGACAAATGATATGTGTAATTTCTTGAATAACATTGCTCACAAACAAATATGGATTTTTTTTTAGTTTTTTGATATACCATTTATTCTTTAAAATTTAATTGATTGTCGCTTGCAGGATTAGTTAAGTGATAGAATGTGACTTGCCAAGGTCAAGACACGAGTTTGATTCTCGTATCCTGCTCCATTAATTTATGCCAGTATATCTTGTTACAAAACACACTAATGATTATGAATTCGTTAGAGAATCTTTAAGAGAAGGTAAAGCTGTTATTCTCCAGACAGATACAGTTATGGGAATAATGTCCTTAAACAAAGATCTTTTATATGAAATTAAAAATAGACCTCTAAAAAAAAAAATCATATTATTCATAAATCATATAAGTCAGATGGGTGATGACATACCTTCTGAACTTCGTGCATTAGCTAATAGACATTGACCAGGTCAATTTACCATCATTTATAAAGGTCAAGGTTACAGGATACCTGATAATCCATTAATAACTGAATTGGTAAGTGAATTAGGTCCGCTTTGATGTACTAGTGCTAATAAATCGAGAACCGCCAGCCAAAACCGTTAGTGAATTAGAACAAATATTTATGCAACACTTAAAAACATAATCATTATCAAAAATACTTGTCCAACAAGTAATGTAAATTCAACTATTTATGACTTTGACCAAAAAAAAAATAATTAGAGCTGGTAAATTAACGAAAGAGAAATTGTTTAGTTAACAGAAAAATAATGAAGCTTGTTGATTTCATAAATAGCTTCTTTTGTTCCTTTATTTAAAAGTACAGGATATAAGTCTTCAATATCTACATTTACTTGAGACAAGGAGTTAATGATTATGTTTTTATCTGAACATTCTTTTTGGAAAATAAAAGATCTAGTTTGCCTTCAAACTTTACATAAATCATGTTTTTTAAATCATTTATTGTGTTTTTACATTCCATTGTTTTTAAGATGTTTACTGCTGCTTCATTATCTGATGTTGATATGGAATATTTATGTAAATGGGTTAATAAAAGATTGGTTATTGAACCTGTGTAATATATTTTTCCTTTAGAAAGAATAGTTATAGAGTTTGCATATTTAGCAAATTCACTTATTTCATGTGAGAAAACCAATATTGATCTTTCTTTTGTTCTTAATTTAGCTAGCAATACTAAATATTCAACTTCTTCAAAATATTGAAGACCAAGAAGTGGTTGATCAAAAAATTAAAAGATGTGGATCATTAATTAAAGCAATTACGAGTTGTATTTTTCTTATTTCTAAAAGACTTAAGTCAACAATATGAACATTTCTTAAAAGAGATATATTGAACTGTTCTAAGCTTTCAGTAATATATTTTTTGGCATAAGCTTCTGTTAAATCTAATTCTTGAAATTTATTCAAAATTACTTCTTCAACAGTACTAAAATATCTCATTTATGGTCATAAGGAACAAAACCACAAGTTTGTTCAACTAAACAAAATTCACTTTTATTTATTTTTCCATCTATTTGTATTTCTCCATCATATGGTTCAAGTCCAGTTAAACAATTAAATAAAGTTGTTTTTCCTGAAGAATAGTTACCAACAATTACATGAAAGTCACCTAAATAAACTTTCATTGAAATGTTTATTAATGTTGCAACACTTTTTGATGAATAACATTTACTTACATTGTTGATTTCTAAGATAGGAAAATTATCTGGTGAAATCTCTGATGTTCTTATTTGTTCAATAAATCTAAGGGGAGAATTTTTAATTTTAAATATATCATCAGCATCATGTTTGTTTTCTGTATAGTTAAAAATATTTACATCAAGATATTCTTTTAACTTCTTACTTTCAGCATTTATTTTTTATATTCTTCTTTTAAAGACAAATACTCAGATAATTTCTCTTGATTTTTTATATTACTGTTTGATTTTTTTAATTCCATAATTTAAAAATAGATATTTTAAATGGTAAACACATGTCAATTTTAATTGTTTAGAAATAAATAAAAAAATATGAATTTATTTTTTATTGGCTAGTTTTTCATTTATGAATTCCAGTAAATACTTTATAAGAGCATAATTCATTCTCATAGGACCAACTATAGAAAGTTTGTGTGTTTTATTTTTGAATTTACAACTGTAGAAGCAACAGAAATACCTTTAATTTCACTTTCTAAATTAATTAATGTGTTTCCTGTCTTTAAAAAGTTGTAATTTAATTGTGAAAAAGTAGAGTAGTTTTCTAGTAGATTTAGGATCTGATCAATATCAATTTGTTTGTTCATTACTTCGGTTGTTTTATTAAAGATTTGCCATTGTACATTTTGGAAACCGAAGCATTATTGTTGTTTAAGTTATTAATAAGTTTGGAAATTAAATTCACATAAACAAATTCATATTGATGTACCTTTGTCTTAATTCAGGAATAATTTCTGTTATTTTTTTATCTAACTCACATATAGGAGTATCTACTAACTTTTCATTAAATAATTGAAGACAAATATTGATATCATCCCTTTCTTCAAATTCATTAATAACTATTTTGTTGTTGTGTATTTCTCCTAAAGAAGTAATTATGTAAACAACAAAGTTATTGCCATCAATTTTGACAATGTCTATTTTTTAAAAGTTCATTATTTAAATTATTGAACTTGGTAACTATAACTGGTAGATTTAAAAATCAGAAATCAAACTTACACTTTTGTCTAATGTGATGTCTATTGAGTTGTTTCTATCACTAAAAATCTGTACTAATTTGTTTTTAACTTCATTGTTTTTTAAGCTTTGTTCTTTCATTAACAACTCAATATACAGTTCGTAACCCTTCTTTGTTGGAGATCTTCCTGATGAATGATGCTCTTTCTTTAAAAACCCTTCTTTCTCTAGAATTACCATTTCATTTCTGATAGTGGCAGAAGAAAGTTGGCTTAAATTTTTGGACTTTAAATTAAGGCTACTAATAACAACATTGTTTTCAATGTATTTATCAATAATTATTTTCAATATTTTTTTTTGTCTTGTATTTAACGTCACAAATGCTTCTTTACTTTTTATTAGTAGTTGAATTTATATTTGTTTGGTTTTTTAGAAAATACTTCATTTCAATTGATAGGAAACAAATATTTAAAAAATAAATAAATTCATAAAAGATCTAAGGGTAATTTAGCAAGAATAATAAGTATTGCAAAACATCATCAACTTAAGTATTTAAAAACTCGAGTATTATGAAATCATTGATGTATTTAGTGTTGACTAAATTGTTTTGTAAATAGTTTTTATAGTATTTTTTTCTGTCAAGCGTAGTAGTTCATCATCATGATTACTGCAAGGAAAAATATAAAAGAAATGATAAAAAACAGTAGTCCAAAAGAAGTTATTTTTAAAGGCGTATTCTGTTGTCAAAGACCAAGTTAAATTAAAAACAGCAAGTATAAATATGTATGCAACTGCTAACAAATAAGTAAATGTATGAACTATTTGCTTAAATACATTTAATGAAGCTTTTTAAAGTCTGGATGCTCAAAATAACCAAAAGAAAGAGCATACTTTGTTCATTCTTTCTTAACCTTAAAAAATTAAAGATTAAGAAAATAGTCTCAAAAGTAAAGAATAAACCAAAAGAATAAACAAATAATTCATATGTCTTTGTAGTAAACAATTCATAAAGATTTCTTTGAAAATCAATAAAAACTTAATTTGAAATATTGATTAAAAAAAAATCTGAAACTTGAAAGTTATAAAAAGTGATCAAAAACATAAAACTCTAAGAATTTTGGTATTTTTTCATAAACCAAACAAGTTAAAAACAACAGCAAAAAAAAATGAAAAAATGTTTACTAAAAAATAAGGGTTTTATTTCTAAGCATGAACTGCTTAAAAGTAGCTTCGCTTTTATTTTTTAATAACAGTTTTGTCTCTGCTGGATTAAATTCAGTGTTTGACATGTATTTAATAACCTTTTAACGGTAGTATGAATTGTTTGAAATTATCATCAAATTGTTTTCCATAAATAATTATTGGTTTTAGATTTTCAGTTAAATCAAATGTCAAAATTTCTGCAGGTATGTTTTTAATTAATTGCTTTAAAAACAAACTGTTTAATGAAAATTCAATATCAAGGTTTTTAATATTTTCCACAACTAATTCTTCTTTTGAAGAACCTTTATCAGCGTCTTTGTATTGGATTAATAGTTTATTTTTCTTCAATTTGTAAAGTGTTGTTTTTGTAAAGGTATTAGACAAAAATAAACTTCTGTCTAAAGCTGTTAAAAGTTTTGTTTTATCTATTTCAAATTTAATTTTTGGTTCTACAACAAATCACTCTAGGAAATTAGGATATTTACCAAGAAATAACTTTGTTTTAAAAGAGATTTCATTGGTTTTTATTAAAAATAATTCATCTCAAACATAAAAATCCAAGTTTTTCCTTCATATTCCTCAAACAAATTAACTATGTTGTTTATTGTTTGAGGTAATAAATTAATGTCAAATTTTTCTCCTGAATAATCAAATTCTGCAAATATGATTCGATAAGAATCTGTGCTTGTTACATATATAAGATCCTTGCCTACATCACTTCTTATATTTATATTTGTCAGAATTGTGTTTTTATTGACATTGTTATTAAGTGTCTTACAAAATTCCCTAAATCTATTGTTAATAATCTTTAAATCATCGTATTTGATAGATATCTTTGTGTGGTCAGAATCATCAAAGGTATCTATTAAATAATTTGCTTCTAAAAAACAAACTAAATTACATGAAAAATTTTCAGAATTTACTTGTAATAATTTGTCTTCTATTTTTTTTAAATTCAATATTTTCATTATTTTTTAAGTTATCAAACAATGAAAGAATTGTTTTTGAATTTACAAATATCTTTCCCTCAACAAAAAAGTTTTCTTTTTTTATTTTCAATACTTAACTTACAACTTGTAATTCCATTATTTACATAAAAATCAATTTTCTCTTTTGAACAATTAATTAATATGTTTTCACTTTTATTGTCTGTAGTAATTGAGTGTGTAGAGACAAGTAATAATTTTTTGATTTTTAATAAACTTTCGTTTTTTAATATGAAATGCATTTTTAATAATTATTAATGAACTAATAAATAAATAGAAATAATTTATTAATTAATTTAATTATTGATATTTGAGTTATTAAAGTTGTCATTGTTGATAACTAAAAAAT